GGATTTGACGGTGGAGGGAAAGATTCAGTCGGTGATATAGTGCTTGAGTTGACAATAGGACCGGTGGAATTCACCATGGAGTTCCACGTACTGACGTGGCCGTCTCCTACAATTTGCTGTTGGGTCGGCCTTGGATATATGCCGCCAAAGCAGTCCCTTCCTCATTGCACCAGATGGTCAAGTTTGAGTGGGATAGACAAGAGATTGTCCTACATGGTGAGGAGAATTTGTGTGCTCACAGTGATGCCTCTGTCCCGTTTATTGAGGCCGAAGACGATAAAGGGCCTTGGGTATACCAAGTTTCTGAAACGGTGCCGATCGAGAAGGTTCCAGAAGGGAAATCTCTTCCAGCTCCAAAGATAGCCTCTGCACCCGTCATGGTAGCCTTCGAAATGCTGAAAAATGGCTTTGTGCCGGGTAAAGGTTAGGGTGCATCCTTACAGGGTATCATACAGCCGGTGTCTCTCCCTGAAAATTTGGGTACGTTCGATCTTGGATTCAAACCCACAGCGGCAGATTTGAAAAGAGCCAACAGGTTGAAACAAAAGGCGTGGGCACTTCCAAAGCCTATCCCGCATCTCTCCAGGTCCTTTATCAAGCCCGGTGCCGTAAAATGCCCAGTGACAGTAGTTCCTAGTCCTATGGTTGACATGGATGAAGAGTTAATTGAAAGGTTCCAGAGGTTGTTTGATGATGTGAACACGATAGAAGTTGGAGAAGGGTCTAGCAAAGCAGATGTGCAGTTCGTCGGACCGCAAGTAAAGCTTAACAATTGGAAGGCTACTCCTCTCCCCACTCGGAAGGAGTTTTGGTAGTTGGCTTTGTTTTTCTTTCATCTGGGTTATTCCAAGGTTGTGACCCAGAATTTTATTTTTCGCTTGTTGATGTACAAACGCTGTTATCCTTTATTTTCAATGAAATGCAATTTTCCTTTTTCACCATTCCTGATAGTTTTTATTTTTGTTTTCTTTCCTTCTTTGTACAGTTCTTTTTATGCTAGTTACAATGACATGACATGCATGAGGAATCTTTAGCCATGTCTTAAAAGTCAATCTAACTCTGAAATAATAATTCAAGAAATAGAGTGTGATGATGAATCGGAATATGATGAAGATAAGGCATTTGAGGATATTAGTAAAGAGCTTAATCATTTTGAATAAAAACCCAAGCCTAATCTGAATGAAACGGAAGCAATCAATCTAGGAGATCCAGATAATGTCAGAGAAACTAAGATAAGTGTCCATCTTGAGCCACAAATCAGGGAAGAAATAATTAAAGCATTGTTGGAATATAAGGATATTTTTGCATGGTCGTATGATGACATGCAAGGTTTGAGCACCGATTTGGTGGTCCATAAATTGCCAATTGATCCAGCATTCCCTCCCGTCAAGCAGAAGTTGAGAAAGTTCAAAACTGACATGAGTGTAAAGATTAAAGAAGAAGTCACAAAGCAGCTTGACGCAAAAGTCATTCGAGTCACGCGGTATCCCACGTGGTTAGGCAATTTTGTGCCTGTGCCAAAGAAAGATGGTAAGACCAGAGTGTGTATTTATTACCGTGACCTCAACAAAGCAAGTCCAAATGACAATTTCCCACTGCCAAATATCCACATTTTGATTGATAATTGTGCCAAGCATGAGATTGGATCTTTTGTGGATTGCTATGCGGGGTATCATCAGATTTTAATGGATGAGGAAGATGCGGAAAAGACAGCATTCATCACACCATGGGGAACATACTACTATCAATTCATGCCATTTGGTTTGAAAAACGCTGGGGCAACTTACATAAGGGAGATGACCACCATATTCCATGACATGATACACAAGGAGATTGAGGTTTACGTGGATGATGTGATCATAAAGTCCAGGAAGTAGTCTGACCACGTCAGAGACTTAAAGAAGTTTTTCCAGAGGCTCCGCAGGTACAATCTTAAGCTCAACCCTACGAAGTGCGCCTTTGGTGTTCCATCTGGGAACTGTTGGGATTTATAGTCAGTCGTCGAGGCATTGAGTTGGACCCATCAAAGATCAAAGCTATTCAAGAATTGCCACCTCCAAGGAATAAGACTGAGGTGATGAGTTTTCTCGGGCGATTAAACTACATCAGCAGGTTTATTGCTCAACTCACGACAATTTGTGAGCCCATTTTTAAGCTGCTGAAGAAGGATGTTGCGGTCAAATGGACTGATGAGTGCCAGGAGGCATTCGATAAGATCAAGGGATACTTGTCAAACCCACCTGTGTTGGTTCCGCCGGAACCTGAGAGGCCTTTAATTCTTTATTTGACAGTCTTGGACAATTCGTTTGGCTGTGTATTAGGTCAACATGACATCACTGGCAGGAAGGAGCAAGCCATCTATTATCTCAGCAAGAAGTTCACATCTTATGAGGTTAAGTACACTCACCTTGAAAGGACATGTTGTGCCTTGACTTGGGTGGCACAAAAGTTGAAGCATTATTTGTCGTCTTACACTACTTACCTCATTTCTCGCCTGGGTCCTCTAAAGTATATATTTCAGAAGCCCATGCCCATAGGAAGACTGGCGAAGTGGCAGATTTTACTCACAGAGTTTGACATTATCTATGTGACTCGGATCGCGATGAAAGCCCAAGCATTGGCCGATCATTTTGCCGAGAACCCGGTCAACGAAGAGTATGAACCATTGAGAACTTATTTTCCCGATGAGGAGGTGATGCATATTGACGAGGTGGAGAAGGTTGAAAAACAAGGTTGGAAACTTTTCTTTGATGGAGCCGCTAACATGAAAGGTGTCGGAATAGGGGCCATGCTCATTTCTGAAACAGGGCATTACTACCCTGTTACGACCCAGCTTCATTTCTATTGCACCAACAACATGGCTGAGTACAAGGCATGTATTTTGGGTTTGAGGTTAGCTGTAGACATGGGTGTCCAGTAAGTCTTGGTCTTGGGAGACTCGGACCTTCTGGTGCACCAGATTCAAGGATAATGGGAAACATGGGATTTAAAGCTCATACCGTATCGACAATGTTTGCATGATCTTTGTCAACGGTTTCGATCAGTAGAGTTCAGGAATATTCTAAGAATCCATAATGAGGTTGCCGATGCTTTGGCTACTTTGGCGTCAATGTTGCACCACCCGGACAAAGCTTATGTCGAACCTCTGCATATTCAAGTTCGTGATCAGCATGCCTATCGTAATGTGGTTGAGAAAGAACTTGATGGTGAACCGTGGTTCCATGACATCAGGGATACATTAGAATTGGGGTATATCCGATACAAGCCACAGGTGATCAAAAGGGAAAAATTCGACGTTTGGCTAGTGGATTTTTCTTGAGCGGAGGGATTTTGTACAAGAGAACTCCAGATCTCGGGCTGTTGAGGTGCATCGATACTAAGCAAGCCATGACTATCATGACCAAGGTACATTCCGGAGTTTGCGGGCCGCATATGAGCGGGTATGTTCTGGCAAAGAAGATTCTCCAAGCAGGTTATTATTGGCTCACCATGGAGCGAGATTGTATCAGTTTTGTGCGTAAGTGTCATCAATGCCAAGTACACGGAGATTTGATTCATTCTCCGCCATCTGAATTGCACAAAATGTCCGCACCATGGCCCTTTGTTGCTTGGGGTATGGATGTCATTGGACCAATCGAGCCAGTGGACTAGCATCAGATGATGCTCTAGGATTTCTAAAGGAGTGTTACCGTATCCTCCGTACCATGGATATATCAGGATCGAGCGGGGTTTCCTTCACTACCTTTCAGCTTCGAGGAGCCGCCTATCAGTGGTGGCGTGCTTATGATTAGACAGTCCAGATGAGGCAGCTTCCCTGACTTGGACTCAGTTTTCAGATATGTTCACGAGAGAGTATGTTCCCCAGAGCCTCAGGGACGCATGGCGCGCAGAGTTTGAGCATTTGCGCCAGGGTATTATGACTGTCTCGGAGTATGTTGTCCGTTTCACTGACTTGGCTAGACATGCACCAGCTTTGGTCTCTACAAATTCGAGGTTGTTTTCACATAATCAACATCCAATCATCTTTTCCAACTTAAGCTTTCAGTTAAGAGACTAAGTGTCTCAATTCACTCCGAAATCTCTCCAGGCCCGAACCAACCAAACCAGTAAGTCATATAACAGTTGTAGAGCACAAAAGGAGCAGAAAATGTGGGAACGGGGCTACAACTCTCGAAACGACCAGCTCGGTCATTACAAGATATTATGTTTATTTTGATATACATGACAATGCATATTATTGGATTAACATGTATTATTTGTGATCATTGGATCAATATAGTTTGATTCTGAATGACTTATATTAAGTGCATTCATAAAGTTGTTAGGCACTTTGTTAGAATGTATTATGCATTGTAATACATGGAAGGAAGTGTTTTCTTAAAAGCATGACCGCCATGATTTATGTAATAATATAATCTAGTTAAAGTGATTGTTGCATAAATTTTAGTTGAGTACGTGATAAAGTCTATGGCCATATTGTTATGTTTATCTCTCATAAAGGATTATTTGATTTTAATATGTGGGCCAAGTGGGAGAATGTTAGAAATTCACCATATCTTCTAGAGACTTCTAGTGTGGCACATATTAGGTAATAAATTATTTACCTTATCTTCCAAGTACATAATATATCAGATAATATTATGTAGTTATGCACATATGGTAGTTTCTTTGATGAAATGAAACTATTAATTATGAGTCCCTAGGATAGCTGTATTTTATGAAAACAATTCCTAGGGCTAAAGTATTTGTCTAAGAGTCCCTAGCCTACCTATAAATACGTTTGTCACTCCATCAGTCTGGCATCCTACGATAGGCTCTCTCTAGGATTTCTGATAAAGGTTTCAAACGAGATTCCACGCTTGAACAACATGGGTGAAGGTACATTCCTATTAATATTCCGTTGTGCAGGCTCTGTGTGTATTTGGAATTTCAACAATTTTACCCCGCTCAAACATTTGACCCCCCTACAAATAGATTGTGTGATCCAGACAAAAAGCCCAAAACAGAACGAAGATGATCAAATGTTTTACTTGTATTTTTGTAGAAGAACTCCGATCAAATTCTCGATCTCTTAATTACAGAGATTTACACTGTGCAATACTGCAATCAGGATCTAATTTACAACCTTCATCTCTGAAATCAAGTAATAATTAATTAAAAAAAATCGCGAGGCCGTCTGTTATCTACCCCATCTTTCTGATTCTTGTGCCAGTCTAAACAGACTTCTTTTTGCAATGCGCTAGGAAAAATTCTTTCACTTAGTCCCTGTACAAGATTTTGTTAATTCTATAAACTTGTCGTTCTTTTCTCAAACGAAAATTCTCTTGATCCAGCAATGGTGATCTCATGTTGGTCGCGATCCTCTTGTGGCAGGGGAACCACTTGTGACGAGCTAGGCCCAATAACTTCTGGCGAGTCATGTTCCAAGTGAGCAAGTTGAATCTGGTGCATGTAGGACGACGATGAGCCATCACCCTCCTGGTAAAACCGGGAGGGTGATGGGGAGCCGCCCTCGTTGTCCCAGTGATCATAGTTGGATCTGCGGGGCGAGTTCTGTAGGCTGCCCATATCGCTCATGTAATGACCGCGCAACAAATGGACGGGTGACATTCCATGAGAGGGTGTTCCTGGCCTGCTTGACATTGGTGTCACTGTATTTGAATGCTTGCTTTGATCCTTAATGTGTTTCTTTGCTGTGTGGTGCCAGTTCTTCAATGCTGTTGCTACTTTCTCATTGAATATGGTTGGTTTCATGTTTGAACCCATCTGTATTCACAATTATACCAAATTTGAGCATTTCGTTCCCAAGAATATAAACATGAGCTTAAGTGCTACTCCCTCTGTTTCAAATTAAATGAGGTAGTTTGACTCGTCACGGAGTTTAAGGAAAAAAAGAAAGACTTTTGAAATTTGTGGTCTTAAAAGCTTAAGGGGTAAAGCTTTGTGGGGCCATGACTTTTTTGTGGTTATAAAGCTTCTCAGGGTAAAATGGGTAAAATGAGGAGTTTAAAGTTGAATTATTTCCAAATTTAGAACAGACTAAAAATGGAATTATTTTGGAACGGACTAAAAATGGAAGTACCTCATTTAATATGAAACGGAGAGAGTATATAGACCGTGTGCAAAATATTTTCATAATCAGTTACTTAAAATGATTACATGTAAATCTGTTGATGAGCACTAATTGTTAACATAGAATAATTGAGCCGGTCAAAACTAATAAAAGATAATATTCAAGATTTATATGACAAGAATTCTGAAATTGTATTCAGTTTATTACCTGTGTCACGAGGGCATAAAGAGGAAGGGTGACATAACTGCAGAGAATCTGAATGAGAACCCTGCTCATAATATCATTGAAAATGTTATGAAATGAAGCGGAGAAAAGAAAAAGAAGTAATGAAGAATTAACTTAAATAGTCTTCCACTCAATCGCTTAAACTGTAAATAGTTAGCGATGGTATAATATGTGTATAATTTAAGTAAAAGTCCTCACCCCATAGATATTCTGATGACGATATCCTCAGTATGGTCGTGATAACAAGATTTCAGCCCGAACTCATACTGGTATTACCCAAAAGAAAGAAAAGAAAGATTCGGTTATTAGTTTTTTTTCCTTCTCACTTTTTTAATTTCATTGTTTCTTTTGCAATAATTTGGTTGAAAAATAAGTTTTGCAATACTGGCAATAGGAAAAAGTTGGTGCATAATGCTTACCCATGTCCAAGCAAAGAAGGCCAGTTGAAAAGCATTCTGCATTCATTCAACAAGAAGTAAATAAAATCCATAAAGATGAGTCATAATAGAGCTAAATTGATAAGTATTTGCCTTATATTTACCATTCACAGCGTAAAGAATATTTACATTATTAGGTCATTTTAAAGGTAGTTGTTCATAATTGATGAAACTAATAACATTAATAAATAAAGCAACTAACCTTCTATAAAAGGTGAATTTGAACTGATTGTGTAAAATTTTTTGCATTGTCAATGAATATAACATAATCTGACTGATGGTTAAATTTAACTTATATGCACTGATATGTAAATAATTTTTATATTATTTGTACCCCATAATTTACTGTTTTAATATGTTACCTATTTTATTTTTTAGGTAATTAGTTCCATTTTGAATAGCTATAGATAATTATTTTATAGGTGATTTGATAATATAAAACTTCTAATACATTGTTAGCATAAACAAGTTAAACTATTGATAAAAAAAAAAAGGGTTACCTGAAAGAGGACAAAATTAATCAGATAAAGAATGAGACGAGGACGGTTGAACCAAAAAAGGTGATCCCCAGGCTGAACGACAGGGACTCCTTTCACTACTTCTCCTCTTTCATGAATCCTTAGTCCCATCTTTGTTATAATCACTTGTAGCTTGGTCCCTACTAATAATATGACCTGCATTTTATTTGCCACCCTTTAAATTTCCATCATATAGTTATAAATAAAACAAATATTTTTGGTATGAGACCTACGAAAACTTTGAAAAAAATAAATGTGAAAATTTTGAAAACAGATAGATGATGTGAAAAATGAAAATGAAACATCCACACAAAGTTAATTGAAAGATATGTACTTGGCAACTAACACTTACAATTAAGGGGATGAATGGTAGCCAGAGATAAGAGTACCAGCCTGTCCACAAATAGTAATGCCATGTATTAGTCAAACCTAATAATTAAGGAATGATTAACCTAGCTTGATAATTAAAGTAATTGTTTCTACACCTAGATAAACACTTGCAATACATCATTACACCTATCAATAATTTTGATATAGTCATGGATCTCGAAGATTATGTATAGGAGTGTGTGTGTATGTTCAATTGTTCTATTATAAAGATAGGGATTTATTTTTTTAATATCAACCGCCTGAACCTGTATTTCTTTTTTTGCTAGGAGGGGTGACACAATCACTAATAGATCTCTCAGCGGGAGCCTCAATATGTCTAGAGGAAATAGCTTCGGTGGATTCGTTTGATTAAGTCATTATGTATGTCGATACCTACCTGCTATCGATTTATGTGTGTGTGTGGATAAGAAATTTGATAATTTAGGATATCAACTGCTAGTGAACAAGATGATTTTTATTTTATTGACAGCTACATATTGTCATGTTTTGCCGGACTATTTGATCAGCTAAAAAATAACTACAAATAACTATTTATTAAAAATGAGATTACTAACTTGAAAAATAAAATAATTTACCTACTATAACAGATGAATTAAATATTATCAATAACGTAAACTTTCTTTCCATTATCGATGTAAATATATTAAAAGTATATGTGAAGTAGTTTACCATGAGTATTGAAGAGTAGGAACAGCACAGCGAGAAACCATATTGGGGGACTGAGAAAAGCATAAAAAAAAAAAAAAAAAAGTAAGCTCAAAAGATTAGCATAACATAACTAATAACGTAAATAATGTAAAATATTAAGTTAAAACTTAAAATTGAAGGCTAAAATAACCTGATCCCTACGACCACTTTGAAATCTTCTTCGAGTGATCGTTTGATGTACTTCCGGAAATCGAATTTGTGGTGGCTCTGAGGTGCTAAATGCGCCTGATTATATTATAGAAAATTAGTAAAATAAAGATTATTAAAAATACAAGTTTTTGTGAAGAATACTTTTTATGGAGATATTCCACGAGCTTTTGGAAGAATAAATGACCTGAATATTCTTTCACCCAATAACTTAAATTAATGTGTATACACACACACACACATATATATATATATATATATATATATATATATATATATATATATATATATATATATATATATATATAAAATTCATGTATAATTTGCGTTTAACCGTGTATAATCAATATCTAATCTTTTGTATATCAGATATAAAAAGTAACCACTAGTGAATCTGGTGAGTACTACTGACCATGAGTTCAAAACTATCGTGGGCAATATTTCATAGTGTAGAATCTTTTTGTTTTACCGTTTACGTGACGAGAATAACTAAATACATATCTATTAGTTTTTTTCTTTTTTTTCATGCATAAAACTAAAAACAAATGAAGATGAAATTACCGTGATAAATCCATGCCTTAGGGTTAAGTAATCAACTTTTGGGACAGATCTTACGAATTGTCTGAAGAAACAAATCTGCAAAAAAGTCCAAGCAATAATTAAGAAAAATGAATATCCAGCTTATTATTTAGAATCCAATAAACTATCTTTTCTAAAATATAGAATCCATTAACTCAAATTCTAGATTGTCTGGAGCAGTGGCGGAGACAGGATCTCTGCGAAGGGAGTTTAAAAAGAAAAAAAGTAGAAAAAGATTGTAGCTAGTGAGAATTGATCCTATGACCTTAGAAAAGTTTTGAACCCTCTTGACGACTAAGCTACACTTTTGGGCTATGTTAAGAGATTTCAAAACTTAATATATAGAGGTGAAAAATAAATTTTGCCGTATATGTACGATGTAATTTTTCGGCGAAGAGAACCCCTTCCGCCCCCAAATCCGCCCCTGGTCTGGAGACGGCCAAATCGCCTAAGTCTGACTAAAATTTTTATAAATTTTGAGAGTAAATGTAATACGTGTATACAGTGCATCAGATGTGAACATCAACCAAAGGTACTATCATATACCAAAAAAAAGTTCGGAAACGACTAGTTAAAAGAAATTTCAACCAAAAGATAAAAAGTTACAGGAAACATGGTTTTACGAGGTATATTTTTCATGTATTTGAAGTCAAAGTCAAACTAAGTTGCTTCTTGAAAAAGACGGTGTAATTGAAAAATATAGCAATTATTCATTGAATAATCGTAGGCTATCTAATATAACTACCGTCTAATGTTCTCTCTTTCCATCTTTGTAAGTTTCTAAACAATTAAACACATAAAGTTTAGGGGAAGCGTCTATATATTTGTCATTCAATAATTCTTGACCTTTTATTTAACATCAATAAACAAGATCTCTATCATTAAATATTTATGTAAAAAGGATCTAGGATTACTCCATACATATGTTTAAAAAAAAGATTTTTTTTAATCTGAATAGCTGCCAACCCAATTTTTTAAATTAAAATAATCAGCAAATTATAATATATATATATATATATATATATATATATATATATATATATATATATATAT